TTTGCACAAATCAGATTTGGAAGAAAAAATGTGGGTTGAGAACCAAGGAACTGGGAGATCTAGGCGACTACATTAAGTTTTGGTGTGAACTTAGTCATGACTCTATCCATTTTCCTTTTCTCTCAGTCTCTTCACTGTGACACCATTCTGTACCTGTCCCTCATACCCTCATGTTTGCAGTCCTGCCCTTCTCACCCCTCCTTCCCTTTCCTTTCCCCCCATTTAACTGATCCCCTTCTAAGTTAATTCTCTTACCAAAAGTCATGGCACTAACAGGACATGTGCCACCGTATATTTCCTCTGCTGGGGTCTTCTACCCCAAATGCCACAATGCACCTCTCTTTTCTGTTTGGACTAGAAGCGATTTACGGCAAAGTTGTCTGATTGTGTGGACACAGTGCCTAGCACAAAGGGGCCACATTCTTGGCTGGCCATTAGCCACTATGGTTAAAAATATGATACCTAATAAGTACTCAGTAAAAGTGGTTTCAAGAATCTGGTTCCATTTTAAGCAACTCAGTTTGTTCAATTTAATTTTTTTTTCAGGCACTTAATCTCTTGTTATCTTTAACACGTATGTTTCTTACATTATTTCTATCAGGGTGAATTTTTCCAGCTGTAAATTTGAGTGGCATAATAGTTAGATGGTAGCCAATGAAATATTGGGATTGCATTGAACAATTTTATACATGCGTGTCTGTGTATAAAGATTTATTTAGTGAAACTGGTTTACCTCATTTTAGAAGTTCTTTGAAAATCTCAACCCCATGGGAAATGCATCAGAAAAAGAATTTACAGATTACTTGTTCAACAAATCGTTAGAAATTGAACCTCGGAACTGCAAACAGCCACCTAAATTTGTAAGTTCTAAGTTTTTTTTTAATCTGCTAATTACTTTAGTAACATCAGAAAATCCTGAAAACTTCCATTAGATTCACAGTTCTCCTTTTGCAGGTAGGTTTTCTTGGAAGACATCTGTTATTTAAAAAATGTTCTTATTTGTTTCAGATGGTGTAATTTTAGGTACTAAAACCGTCTTGGCTTATTGATAGGCCAGTTGTATTTTGCAATAAAAACTGGGAGTAGATAGTATTAAAACTGAAATTGATATCGTATCGTTTTTGTCTTATCGTATATTCTAAGAGGTAAGGATTTTTTGGTGATATCTTTTATTGGGCCAACTATATTATATAGTTGGGAGAGAGGTTTGACAAACTTTCAGGCACAAAACATCCTTCTTCAGGTCTGAGGGAGAAGCAGACAACTTGAGCTAAATAGTAGATGGAGCAACACACGTGCTTTTGTTTTATATGTAAATAGATCACTACCTACTGGTGTTCATGTGCATCGATCTTATTTTCTGTGGGAGTTTATTCCAGTGCATAGTCTTTATCTAGTTTATCAACTCCCATTGTTTCCGTGATGGTGTCGGGTGCACTGGATGAGAGAGACTCTTTCTGTAACAGGCGTGTGTTAGGTCCACGGTTTGACCATTTCATTGTGGGGCAGCATGGATTGTGGTAATAGAGAAGATGCCTTTACAGGTTTTGCACCTGTTGTTAAGGCAGGGATGTGTCCCATTTTGATATTTGCTGATCAGAGGGGAGTGATCTTCTGGTGAGTTGGGCCAGGTTTGGGGGTGGTTTGAAGGATGTGTGGCTCTTTACAGTCTAAATGCTACCTCGACTAATCTCCCTGTGCTCCGGAGGTAATAACTTCTTTCCTTCTCAGATGGTCTTGTTCTTCCACTAATTACATTAGATGTTCTACTGCACTTCTTTTTTCTTATAGGCACTCCAAATGAGTATAAAAACTGCCATGTACTGGGTCAGACCGTAGGTCCATCCTGCCTAGGCCCCTGTGTCACACGGGCAGAGTGTGGATGCTGAAAGGGAGAGAACAGTACAACCAGGGCTTTTGCCCCACTGTGCCTCCCCTACTTGCAGCCTCAAGCATTTAAGGTCTAGGAAATTCTGATTCAGAGGCTGTATCTTTAACTCTCCTGCTCAATAACTACTAATGCTCCTTTTCTCTGAGAATTTGACTAGTCCCTTTTTGAATCTGGCTAAGCTGTCAACTTCCACAATATGTGGTGGCCATGAGTTCCACCCTTACGTGACACGCTGGGTGAAAATGAACTTTCTTTGGTTAGTTTTAAACTTACTACCTACCCATTTCATTTTGTGATCCCTAGCTCTTCTATTGAGGGAGATAGTAAAGAACAAATCCCTATCTACTTTCTCAACGCCATTTAGTATTTTGGTAAACCCTTATCATGTCCCCCCTCAAGTGTCTAGGCTTGGCCTTATAAGAAAGCGTCTCCATACTACTGATCATCCTTGTTGCCCTTCTCTGGACCTTTTCTAGCTATATTCTTTTTGGCGTGTGAGAACAAGAACTAGGCAAAGTATTCAAGGTGTGGGTGCACTGTGGATTTACAAAGGACATCATGATACTTTGTTTTGTTTACAATTGCCACCATTTTATAGCTGTCCTCCATTCCTTGAACCAGAATATTTTCATTTTTATGTGGAGTAATACACATGCTTTTGTGCTATCCACTCAGCCTTCTCCCCCACATCTGAAGAAGGGTGCTTTGTACCCAAAAGCTTGTCAAATTATTCGATGATTCTATCAATTTCTCAACCAACTATATAGTTTGTCCAATAAAAGATTTCACAAAAAACCCTTGCATCATACCATCATAGATTTCATAGACATTTGGGCTGGAAGGGACCCCAAAGGATCATCGAGTCCAGCCCCCTGCCCCAGGGGCAGGAAGTCAGCAGGCTTAGGATAGGATCCCAGCAAGATGAGCATCCAAAAACCTTTCCTGGACCATCATGGCTTCAATAACATTCCAGTCTTACTTCTGTATAATAACATGATTTAAATTGAAGGCACTGTGAAAAAATGGCATATGACTGAAGGGGAAAGCCTTTTGGAGCCACCGTTAGTTGCTGTATTTTACTTTGATCAGAGAAATATTTTTCTAAAACATAATTTCACAGCTAAATGAAAGTTCTCTTTATTGTTTCAAGTATTTGCAAAAATTGAAATATACCATACAACCGAGTGAGGTACAATCACTCTGTAGTGAAACCAAACATTGTTACTATGTCAGTCGTTTAAAACAAACAGCTGCCAGAGCATGAAATGATTTTTATGCTGATATTTTGCCTGGTAGAGAACTTGCTGCTGTGTCATTGTTTTTCCCATACCTCCTTGCAGTCGGAAGTGTTTTTTGCACATCTTTGAAGTAAGAGGGCCATAAAGCAGTTTAAATAATTTTTTTTTTCTCCTAGGAGTGAGTGTGCCAATGCTCCTGATCTAAAAGAGAATCAGAAAAGACCTTACAATCATTTTCTTCAGAAATCTCTGTCTGTTGTGTGAATGCTGATTATTCCAAATCAGTGGGCATGTTGACACGAGACGCTAAAGGTGCAGCAGCCTAACTCTACTGTGCATTAGCATGTCTGGCAAAAACCATGCTAATGCACTAACGTGCAGTAGAATTAGTATACTGTGCATTAGCGTTACTGTACAAAAAAGCGTGCGTTGGCCCTACTGCACGGTAGTGCTGATTACAGCGCATTAAATTAGTACCTGTAATTATAGGTACTAAACTTAATGCGCTGTAATTATGGCGAGTTAATAAACGTGCAGATGTACCCAGTATGTTTTCCAAGTGAAAAAAATCTTTCAGAACTAGCTGAGTGGTCTGGGATGGCTGGCACCAATGTAACAGGTAGTTTACGAACACAGAGGACATCAATTAGTGATTGACACTCTTGGATCTGCGCATGAAGACGTTGCCACGATACATTTCTCTAGTACAAGCAATAGGAGCATATCATGCCGTCTATACCAGGAGATGTTTGTGACTGCCCCCAGTAGCCCAGACCTGTCTTTTTCTAATTAGTCTCTAAAACAGATGCCACGAGAATGCAACTTTCAGTTCCGTGGCTTGTCCTGATCAACACTTGTGTCTGAAACTCCACTACTACATTTTCAAAATGATTGGAGAAGACTTCTTGAGCAGTGCAGAGTTTCATAACTCTGTTAAAAAGAAAGCAAAGCAAAACCCCCTTAATTCTATGCAACACCACATCTGTCAAATCCTTCTTATTTTGTATAGCAATAGGTTATCCAGCAATGGGGTGTTGAGGGCCAACATGCCACGCATGGAAATGACCCATAATTCCTGGCACCCGCTGTGGGTTGGACATGGGTGGGGGTTTTTTTTGCACATCAGACTCCAGGCGAGTTGCAGATAAAAAAAAAAGAAAAAAGCCCACATAGAAGACCCCCGTGGAGCTGTAGGGTTGTCACCAAGGGACATCTGGAGGAGAATGAACCAGGGATGATCAGGGAGCTAGACTGCATGACCTCACATGGCCCCTTTCCTGTGATCCTAGAACATCACGCACGAGGTCCAGGAGTCTAGCACTTGAGAGAGACTCCAATATAGAGCGTTGCTGTATAAGACTGTGAAAAATGTGGGTCAGAGAAGAGAGATGACACGTATTGCAAAGTGTGTGAAGCGTGCAAGCCTGAATCCTCTCACCTGTAGTGCCCCACTTGCAAAAGAAGTTTGTCTGTCTGAGCTGGACTATTCTGTCAGTGGGTTCATTTTCTCTGACTCGCTTCTATTTGACCCTATTGTTAACGTATTCCTTGATTACTACTCAAGGAGCTGCTAATATAATAAACCCTAAGGAGCAGGTAGTTATAAGTAGTGACAGATCATCTACATAGAGCCATTATAAAATCATCTAGAATAAATAAGTACCGTTAGGATGCTGTATTTGGTTCCTTTTTGTAAACGTGGACCAACGGCTTGGAATTTTTGCTGTTGTTGTCAGCGTACAACTGTTTGCCCTGATTAATCACATTTACTTTCTCTAGCCTAGAAAAACAGTATACACCTTGAAGTCTCCTGGAATAAGGCCCAATACTGGCAGACATGGCTCCACCTCCGGCACCTTACGAGGCCATCCGACCCCACTTGAAAGGGAACCAAGTAAGATAAGTTTTAGTAGAATTACTGAAGCAGAGCACGAGTCAACAGTGTCTGCACCAACTTCTCCAAATACACCATCTACTCCACCGGTATCGGCTTCTTCAGAATTTAGTGTGTTTTTAGAACCTGACCTCAGCAGCTCTTGTGGTATGTATGCAATGCATTTTTATTGCTAATTTCACCCCACTGTCTGCTTCTAAATGTTTTTTGCCTCTCGTGCCACCTTTAAAAAAAATTGTGACATGAGTGGCTAAACTATCAAGCTCCTGTATCACCATTTGTACAGTTTGGGAACCCACAGTGTGCTTAGGAAGGAAACAAACAGATGTTATGACACGTGTCATCATTTTTGCTGCTTAAACAGTTTTCCAAGTTCTTTTCCTAATGTGTGAGCAAGTCTCATCTTGGAAGAAAAGCTTGTGGTGCTGTTGGTTGGGGCAGTTACAAGGTTCTGTGTCAAGTTCGGGGGTGCAAATGGCAGAAGAGTCTGCTGTGTCCCTTGGGTTCAGGTGAAAGGACAGCTAGGGTTTCATGTGGCTGCTGTGAAGGTCTCAGGCCTACAGGTAAAGAGTGACTTAAGGGTATATCTGCACTGTAGGAGCAAAAAGCTCATTGTCACAGCTGGGGCAACAAACCCTGACCTCATGCTCTTGCTCTACATGCTTCAGCCCTGGAAGAGGAGACTGGGGGCACCTCTAGCACCATGCTCAAGTCTTGGCCTGCTGGCGTGCTCAAGAGCTGCATCTGGTGTGTCCTAAGGGTGTCCTCACCACCTTGCACCTGCTCAGTGGGGAACAGGGCTCGCTGCCCCAACAGGAAGACCAAACTCTGCTGCTGCAGTGTAGACATACCCCAAAGATAAAGGAGTAGTTAATGTTCATGACCAAATGTCATTGGTAATTTCCTGAGTTTATGGCATTTAGTGCATCTTTGAGCTATAACACCTTACTACTTTTTTTAAAAACCAACACATTCTCAGCAATAAGTCAGATGTTCTAGCCTAAAAATACTTACGTAATAGAAACCAAGGGCTTTTTTGTGGTACCTTTTGGTGGACCAACTGTATAATTGAGAGAGATGTTGGACAAGCTTTTGGGCTTAAAGTGCTTTTTGGGGCTAAGAGAGAAATAGACAGAGGCTAAGCTACATAATGGAAAAAATGGATAATGTTGAACTATATAAACGAAAGCAGTCGCATATGGAATGGAGAGAGAAGGTGATAGAACTCAGCTGAGGTCAGCAATGAATTTCAGAAATCGCCAGATATATTTTAACGGTAAACTGGAGTCAATAACGCTGTTTTAGATCTTGTATAAACGTATGAAGTGAGATGGTTGAGTGCCAAAGTGGTCCTCTAACCCATTTTTCATTTTAATAGGTAGCAATAGCATCTTTGCCCCTGTCCTTTTGCCGCAGCCAAGTGAGTATTTGAACTCCCGTAGTATTTCATTATTGTTTTCTAAACCTGTCATAAGCACCTGATAGTAATGACATTCTCTGTAAGAAAGGGATGAAAAATTAATAAAATACCGGTACGTAGAAACTGTTTGCACATGTTGTAGGTAAAGTAAGTATACAGTGGTATAATGCAGAAAAGTTAAAGGCTCCTCAGGTTAGTTCCCGACAGGTAATATGGATGTTTTCCTGTTTGGATTTTTTTGCAGCACTAATCAGTAAGGCAAATTATACAGGTAAGGCAATTAAATAAGACAGTGACTGGTACTAAGATTTACTGCAAGTGTTTGTTCTGCTATCAGGGAGGGAGAGGCACCGTCAATCCCACACATAGCAATATGTTACTGTGCTGTTTATAATCAGAGTCTGAAATGCAGCTGGGAAAATGCTTCTAGCTGTGGTCAACTTCCTTTCTACTTCCTCATTAATGCTACCAGTTGCCTTTTTCCATTACAGTTTTATTAAAATCCAAAATTGCAATACAGAATCCTAACTGGGGGACAGAGCAGACATCAGATTGTTCACCCATCTGCATGTTGCAGATAAATGGAAAGAAAACAAAAGTTACAACAAGAGCTAACGTTAGATTTAAATGCGAAACATTTCATCTTTTTCCTGAATCTTGTTAAATGACCCTTTCTCCTCAAACAGAAAAAGGACTGGGAAAGTTTAGAAATGAAAGAGGTGTGGTGGTGGGAATCTCATGTACTGTTTTCTCTATAGTGTTTTTGTGTTGAGAGAGCACAGCCCAACTACTGTTATATCCCATAAGCAGCCCTGTAAATTCCAAATGTGAACCTGTAATTAGTTGTTGGCCAAAAAAGCATATGATTCACATTGATATTCAGTTTACATGTATCCAGAATATAGGCATCACCAAACATCTCCACTTGAACAGCAAATACTTCATGATGTATATAGAAGCTTGCAAATGAAATGATGTTGGTGCGCTCGCTATATTCCTTCTTTTATCTAGGCTCCGTCTTTCAACATTGCTGATTACCTGCTGATGACTATATTCTGTTCTTCAGATAAAGTCTCCTTTGTCAGATAGAATGTAGGATTATAAAAAGTGGATGGTGAAATAATTTCCTTCAGCTTCAATGAACAGTTTGTGATGCCACTGAGCACAAAGATTGTTTGTTAGCTTGTGTCTAGCTTACTTTGAGCATGCTTTCTTCATCGCTTTGTGCAATGCCTGAAACTGTCTTCATCCCTGCAGAATCTTTCTTCAGTTCATGGAGTAGTTTACATAAGCTCAGTGATGAATTTCTGGTTCCTCCTCCACTTCCGCCACGCAAAAAGTTTGATCAGGACACTTTGAACTCTAAGGTATTATTTTCTATTGAAATCATCTTGATAGCAAACCTACCAATAGAAGTACTGGGTTGCAAAACAAATGTATTGATTAAGTACACCCAGAGACATTTTTTAGATGCAGTATAACATTCTAATTATTCTGTTAATCTTTAGTCACTGCAAATGCTCACCCTTGTTAGTCCCACTTCTTAGCACGAAGTTGTAATAGATTTTGGGTTGCTTCATTACAGTCTTAAAATACTGCAGGACTACTCAGAATATGTAGTATCTTGGTCTGTAGATAAGACAGCAAAATACCCTTTGATGTACTTATGAGCAAAATACTGGTGAGCAAACTACGCTTGGACGTACTTATGAGTTTTGTCTGTACACATGGGAGACTTTTTAATCTAGAGAGAAACCTTTACCATTAAGCTTGTAATAATTAAATAATAATCTAGCAGCCAGTCTAATTAAATGATAAAATAATCTAGAAGTCAGTGGTGTCAGACTGTCACAGTTATATCTTACAAACTGGTGGCTTCACTCGAAACTGTCGCTTGGTTTGCATCTGTTAGAACTGGTTCTGGATAAGAAATCTGAAGGCTAGTTGTAATCTTTTTTGCTTTGTACATTTTAGGGAGGCACAAAAACTGATGACGATCCTCCTGCCATTCCACCTAGGCAGCCTCCCCCTCCAAAGATACAGCCTCGAGTTCCTGCTTACAATAGTTCATTTGACCAACCGTTGCACAGCCCCCCACCGCCACCTCCCCGGGACCCTCTTCCTGACACCCCTCCACCAGTGCCGCTTCGGCCTCCGGAGCACTTCATAAACTGTCCATTCAATCTCCAGCCACCGCCAGGAGGACGCTTCCACAGAGACCCAGACTGGTTGAGGGAAGCCAGCACGTGCCCAAACTCTCCAAACACTCCTCCAAGCACACCCTCTCCCAGAATACTGCGCCGCTGCTATGTGCTCAGCTCAAGCCACAACAGCCTCAGCCATCCTCCTGCTCCCCCAGTCCCACCGCGGCAGAACTCAAGCCCTCAGTTACCAAAACTGCCACCAAAGACTTACAAAAGAGAGCTTTCCCATCCTCCTTTGCACAGACTGTCTTTGCTAGAAAATGCAGAAACTCCTCAATGACCTTAGCCATATTAGTCATTGACACTGGAATAGTATTTGTAAAGTTCCTTTTTTTTATTTATTCAGAAAGGCAGTGTATTTTAGTACTTTCAGAAATAATGCTCTTATAAAAGTGCTACTGATCAAAATAAATAAAACCAAAACCAAAAGAGGTTAAATTGGAAAAATAAGAATACGCACTCTAGCCTGTGTCTGCTCCTCTACAGCATTACCCTCAGGTGGTCAGTAGCATTGCCTTGCCTCAGATCCTCAGTGCCGACAGTTATGCCAGTATAAAGAGTATATATTTTGCACTGTAAACGACACTAAAAGAATTGAAAACTGACATCAGTTCATTGCACTGAGCCAAAAAGGTGCGTTTGTGAAATTTTTCAAATTTGAGCACTAGTGGCCTTTTTTTATTTTTTCCTTCTTTTCTTTTTCCTCAAAAGAACAGTGAACTTGCTGCCCAAGCAGAGGATGTACAGTGTTACTGGTTTTAAACCTCGCCTTGTCACTTTGTGCGAGCGCGGAGGTTTGTGAACGACAACTACTGTTCTCAGATTTTTTGACGTGGTGTCTTAATTTCCATTGATTTGCTGCTGAAGATGTAAAAAAAAAGAAAAAAGAAAAAAATGTGTTGAGTATCGAAATGGAGATATCAAAATGCACTATTACTTTGACAAAGTGTAAGCAAGGACTACCTAACTCAGTTAATTGAGAGAATCCCTAGTATTTAGCATGCATCTTGTTCAGATGTGCCTTTTTGTTTTGGCAGGCGAAGGTGTCTTAAGCTAAAAAATAAAGTTGCCTACTGTTTTGGAGAACAAAGCTATATGCCATGTATGTACAGTTGTTTATATTGTATATTTACAGATCATGCTAATAACCTGTATAAATTTAAGTAACTCAAGGCCTATAATACAGTCTGCTACTCTTGCTGTCTTATACATTCAGAAGCGTTTCCTATGGCCTAGGAATACAGTCTTGCCTTCCAAACCTAATGTTCTTTAGTTCTCCCTTCACTTAATTATGAATACCCTTTTGGAAATTGGTAGCATTTAAACCAGCAAACACATAAAGCTTTATTAAACTTTTTAAACAGAGAAATGATCAGAACTTTCCTTTGCCAGTTGAACTACTTGTCGTTTGAACTGGTGTGAGAGTGAATCTGTTTTACTGGTAGTACTGTAGCAGCATTTGTAAAGTGGCCAAAAGCCACATTTTATTTACTGGTCTGTGGCCTTTTACTGTGCTTTGTATCAGAGTTCTTAACAAGATTAATAAATCACCCCAGTCTTAATTTTTCAGAGATTGACCATGTGTGTTCCTTGCAAGGCTGGGGAGGTGGGAAAGCAATGGTGTCTGTGCACTCTGCAGAATTCCCATATTTTTATATTCTTTCATGCCAGTTCCGGTAAGACGAACGAATGAGTTGCTGTCCTAGATGCAACTAATTAGTCCAGTGCTGTGGGAGAATTGCAAGTGTTAAAGCCTACCCATCTGGCAACCCAGTAGAAATTTTACTGTCTTCCACCAGAGATGTGATGACAGTTCACACACACTATTTCTGGCTCTTCCTTCAGATTTGGGAAAGGGCACTATTTCAGCTCAGATGTCCAGGTCAAAGTTTCTATCCACCTGTATGTACTCATTAGACAAGATAAGTGACTGCCACCATCAAAGGTATTTACATGAGGACAGGAGGGTTGCTACTGTTTCCCTTCCTGTCCTGGAAGGGGTGCTGACTTCTTTTTAGGTAGGAGGTGGGTATCTTAGCAGTCTGTCCTGAGTAGTAAAGACTACAATTCTTTCTATCCTTTGCTGCTTCCTTCCATGCTCCCCCCTCTGAGACGTGGAGAAATGTGATAGATCCTACCTGAGACATCAGCCATGCAGACTGCACTCAGGAGAGAAAAATAACATCTAGAAAACCAACTCCATTGACAGCTTACCTGCAAAAAAACACTTAGACTATGAGTGTGGCCTGGATCACCTTCCATTTCAAAGATTTTTGCCCCCTCAAAAGTAGTAGCAAACATAGTCCCCCTAGACAATGAAGAAGAGTAGCTCTCCCAGACTTTTACCATCAGGTTAAAGATGTCCAGGTAGTTTGTCAAGCACTATCACCACCACAGTGGCTTATATGAGGGGAGGGGAGGTGGGAGGGAAAAGCCCCTAGTTACCCAGAAGGCTTCCAAGGAAACATATGGGAAAGAACTCAAAATAGATCCGCGGAGCAAATTCCTAAACCAGGACAAATAGTTCTGTAGGTCAGTAAGGCTCCAAAAGGCACCCACAAATCTAAATTGACCCATTTCTCCCTTACTTTGCAGCCTAACATGCTGTCTCTCTCTTTCTTTTGGGTCCTGGTGTCCTACTTCCCATCCAATGGAACTACCAAGGTGACATGACAAAAGGAAAACTGCACAGTTTCTTTTTCAGGTTGCGCTGTCTGCTAATTCAGGCTATGCTTGGATCTTTATTTATTTTATTTTTTTTGGTATCCTAGACTTAGGTCTTCCTGGCCTTCTACTGACGATTCAGGCAGCTGAGAGAGATCCATGGGAAGACTAAAGAATAATTCATTGAAGTTAATATCTTCAGAGTTCATAATTTCATCACGGTAAGGTCAGTAGGACCCATTGGCCACATCCAGATGAGCGAGGACATTTGGTTCCCTGGGGACAATTAGCAGAGGCACACCTTGCACCACTGCTACTTGTCCCCCGGGAATGCCCATGCCACAAGTTACCCCGGGTGGGGTAGGAGAGGCTGGGGCCAGCACTGGGTTGGCCCCAGCAGCCTTCCCTGGGGTCCAGGGGCCCCCCTGGGGCTGCAGCAGTGGCGATTCTGCCCCACAGAGCCTGACCAGCAGCCATGGTGCAGCTCTGGGCGGCCCGGCTCTGCTTTTGAGTGGTGCGCACTGCCTATGCATGCGCTGCTCTGGGTTTTTTTCCACCCGGGTTTTTTCCTGCGGAGGGGGGGAGGGGGGAACACAGAGTACCACACACACAGGCAGCACTTCTTTGCAGCATGGCATACATCTAAATGTGGTGCCATGGATGTGTTTGTGACACCCTATGCCGCACAGCCGTGCTTGTCTGGACGCGGCCATTATGTTCAAATAGCTTCACCTCCTATAGAACACAGGCCACATAAGCTGAGCCCAAACCTTCTCTTTGAGCTATAGCAAAACTTTTACAAAGACATCCCTCCAGCCTTGCCTCATGGAGAATCCAGCACACATCTCTTTAAGTTGTTCCAATGATTAGTTGCTATTACACACTGCATTTTGCTTAGTGTTTAAACTTATCTAGCTTCAGCTTCCAGCCTTTTTTTTTCTTTTCCCTGCTAAGTTAAACACCATCCTACCGTCAGAAATTAGATTTCTCACTAAGGGTAATTACAAGCTGATCAAGTCATGTCTTAACCTTCTTTAACTCAAGGGTTGTACCACTTTATTATCTCATTCTAAGAAATGTTTTCTTGATTTAGTTCTATGTCTTCTGACCTTTTGGAGATTTGGAAGAAGCTTTCTGGTTAATTAGGTGGGAGACATTTAGCTCAGTGTGTTAAGCTCTTCAAGGCCTATGTGCTCAGCAGGCAGTCCTTTGACTGGGATTACCAGGTTGAGCAGCATGGGAAATGAAATTAGGAAATAATACAATTTTCCATTTTTTAACAGGTTTCTATTAAGAAAATATCACCAAAAAAAGTAATTTTAACAGGGATTGCTTATAACTTGCTCTTCATTAAAGCAACAGTTAAGACATTTCAATCGACTCTTCCTTTTTTAAAGGGTTAGGAAAAGAAAGTAAGCAACACTGCAGGCAATTTATAGGTTTCTCATTGCATCTTAATCCTAAAGTCTACTTGTATGAATCTTACAGAATAATGAAGGAAAAAGGATTACAAGAATTGTCTATCCCAGGCCTTGGGGGAAACTAGAGAGTTTCCCTCAGTGCTCTAGTAAAAATATCACGGAGCCAATGTGAAGTGGAGTACACTTCCCACTCAGTTTATTAATCCAGATTTAAGGAGCAGAACAGTTGGCATATGGGACTGTTTCACAGTTTATCCACAAACAGTTAGTAATATTTTCAGGACATTAATTCTGATTCGCCTATAGTGCTCGCTGTTAGGAAAAAATCTTTAAATTTTAGGGATACATACAGACAAGATATTCAGCAAATGTGGAGTTTTGAATTCCAGCATCAATATGTTTATAATATTTTAACCCGTTTATAAAATAATACTGATATTCTGCATAGTTTTATATCTTGATACAGCAATTGGTTTATAGTTTAGCATGTGCATGATAGTTAGGAATGGGCTTAACCGCATTTCTAAGTGTTTTGCTCAATCAGGGCCTTACAAAGCTATCAGCTTGCATTAAGATTCAAAGATGAGGTACACCTGCAAGATAGCTAATGTTCTAAATCAATGCATGTGTAGAAGCTAATTTTCAAGTGATACATCATTTTGAGACTTATTAACCTGAAAACTCTATAGAGAAGTTGTTGGGCAGAGAGTGTTTCATTTACTTTTAAACTTGGTGGTGGGGGAAAAAAAAAGGGTGAGTGCTTCTGGACAGCTTTATAATGCTAGGCTTCACTTGAAAGAGAATTAAATATGCAAACCTGGGCAGGGGGGGAAATGTTTAGTGGAAACAATGACACACAAGGAAACATCAAGCCTGCAGTGTTAAGTCATAGTTAAAGCAGTTGAGTGTTTCCATAAAAGAACTTCATTGGCATAAGGGACAGGAAGAGGAGGATTCTTGCTGACTAAGCAGCTGGTGGGAGTCGTCATGCTTTAGGGTCCTAGTAAGATAGTCCCAAAATGACTCCTACTTGGGTTGAGAGGGCCAGTTACGAAATCCAGCTGGGACTGCGAGTCACATTCATCTTTGCAGAAATAGGCAGCTGTGAGTCTGCAAATATGCAAATTGCAGGGAGATTCAGAAGAGGAAAACTTTAACTTCTGGGGGCCTTGCCCCACAAACCCTCCTCTGAGTCCAAGAGCTGAAAGATTTCAAAATCTTCCAGAGCAGGGCACTGCCGCCAGAGGGAAAGTGTGGTAGGCACAAAAATGGCTGTTACCCAAAGTAAGTGTTTAGCCTGGGAAGTGGTTAAAAGCAACTATTATGTGGTTCAAGAGAAAGCCAAGATTGCAATAAATTAACATTTCAGCTGGCTCATAATTAGCGGGGAGAGTAGAAGCAGCAACAATGTCTATGTCCTGGCTTTCAAGCCCACCTGTGTAGGTTTCTGACAGAAAGATGAAGAGGTCAAAGATAGCTCCTCCTCCAAAACCATTTAGAAAATCAAATGAAATGTTGACAGCATCTTGATAACAAGAGAAGAGTAGGACCTGTCCCAGGCTTTGTCACTGCTTCTGTTTTGGGTCAGTGGATTTGAGCCCTTCCTGTTCAGACTACAATTTCCTGAAGCTAAGACTTGGCTACAGCTGACCACAAATGATACTTTTTTCCTGCTTTTTATCTTTACTACAGCTTTTTAAGTCTTCCATGCCAATTTTATTTTCAAAATTATACCTCCACCATTTGAGCCTCAAAACCTTGATCAAAAGTCATGGCTTTCTTATTGCAAACGATAGGCGATTAATTTAGCCAAAGGGGTTAAACGAGTCAAGAAAGGCTTTTTACAAATGCCTAAGGAAAAATGTCAGCAAAAAGGAGTCTTTTAACTGAGGAGTAATAGCTGCTTTTTTGTAAACCTCTTTGAAAGTTGAGCCGTTGCTGGGCTTTTAAAACACTCATGCATATGCACATGAGAAGCCCTATTAAATTCGGTGGAACTTCATGGGTGAATAAGTACTTGTATAACTGGGTTCTCATGTCATAAAAAATAACTCATCAAATGCTATTGGTTACAAACAAGCAAGATGAAGTCTGAAAACTGAAACTCTAGATGTGCAAATCACCCTGGCCTGCGTGGATTAGCAAAAGCCCCTGCTGGACTACTTATGGCTGTGAAATTCCCGAAGGAACAGAGAGCCATGGAGGGCTGGATTCTGGTGAAGCAAGTGCAGTATTCAGTTAAAAATACGTATTGTCAATGACTTCTGACAATTGCTGGCTCATTTAAAAAAAAAAAGAAAGAAAAAAAAGCCCACTAAAGGTGTGGACTGTCCCTTTCCATGGAAACTTCCAACTGAGATTTTCTCTACCTCTTGCACAAGACTTTAGAATCACAGACAACGAGGGCGGGAAGGGGCCTCAGGTCACATCTAGTCCAACCCCCTGCTCAAAGCAGGACCAGCCCCAACTAGATCAGCCCAGC